ATCACTCATATGTGGAATCAAAAAAAGGGGACACTATGAACTCATCTACAAAACAAAAACAGACTCGCAGACTTGGTACATAATCTTACGGTTACCAGGGAGAGGGGGTGGGAGGGGATAAATTTGGGAGTTTGAGATTTACAAATGTTAGCCACTATATATAAAAGTAGATTTTAAAAACCACTATATATAAAAGTAGATTTTAAAAACAAGTTTCTTCTGTATAACACAGGGAACTACACTCAGTATCTTGTAATAACCTTTAATGGAAAATACATGACAATGAATATATGTATGTCTATGCATGATGGGGACATTGTGCTGTACACCAGGGATTGACACATTGTAATTGACTATACTTCAATTAAAAACAAAAACAGAGGCAGAGTTACAGACACAGAGAACAACTGGTCGCCAGAGGGAAGGTAGATAGGGGAAGGAAAGAAATATTGAGGGAGATTAAGAGATACAAACCTCCAGTTATAAAATAAATGAGTGATGGGTATGAAATGTACAGTGTGGGAAATACAGTCAATAACTATGTAATATCTTTGTATGACATATCATAAGTAGACTTATCATGAAAATCATTTTGAAATGCACAAAAATACCAAATTCACTATGTTGTGTATCAGGAACCAACATAGTATTATAGGTCAATTATACTTCAAAAGCAAACACATAGAAAAGAGACCAGATTTGCGGTTATAAGGGGTGGGAGAGGGCATCGGATGAAGGCAGTCAAGAAGAGGGATGTGTGAATAATCTGAATGTTCACTGCACTGGATAGACTGTATACATCTTCATCACAGTAGAGCTTAGTTTAAATCTCTTCTCAGGGTTCCATCACCTCTGTCAGACTGACCTCACAGCTATGACAATCTTTTAAAAAGAAAGACGACTTCTTAACTGAGGAAACAATGTTTCTTTCCATACAAGCCGCAGCCTGATTCACTTTCTAAAAGATGTCCTGCCTTACTCTTATTTCACTTGACCTATCAAAAGAAAAAAAGTATGCTTTAAATGTTTCCAATAATGGATTTCAGTCCTGTCTTGTAATTTCAAATTTATCTTTATTTGACATTACCCAGGTTTACACAAATGACTTAAAAAGAAAAAAGGAGTTGCAAAATAGGATATTTAGAACTGCCTAGATGTTTAAAAAGTATAAATTTAAAATTCTGAACAACTCAATGTTGTTTTCTATATTAAAAAAGAATATGAAACAAATACATATATGCATGCATGACTGGGACATAATGCCGTACATCAGAAATTGACCCATTATAACTGACTATACTTCAATTAAAAAAAATCCATATGAACTTGTCAATTATTTCCCAGTGTAAGTGACTCCTTTCTATACCAGACATGTCCAAGGACTAAGGTGAGAGCAAACTGATAAGAGATAAAAAGGTAATTTAAACCGTGCAGTGTAACTGGACTCTGGGCCTGCTGTGTTCTGCCATGGTGTTTGGCTATATGACCTAACTGTGGGGCCAAGGGCAATTATCTCCTTGTCTTCAACAATGACGGAGAATATATATCAACCTAGACCTCACAGAGGCATCGGAGAGATAATACTGTACATGAAATGACTTAAGCTGCTGCTAATGCAAAAGAATACGTTCCAAGTTACCCAACTGTTCTTTTTGAAGTGCTGGTAGGTGTTCTACCCTGGAAAGTTCTTTTCATTTTACTAAGGTGATCCACTGAGAATCAGCACTGTACCAAGCTTTATGCCAGGTACTGAGGAGGATTAGGGAAGAAATCAATGTTAAGGTGTTTCTAGTATGTTCTACATATTTGTAACCTAGTTGGAGAAAAAAAGTATATATGATTTCATCATTTCAAGGTGGCAACGTGAGTGGTTCAAACAGTGCTATGCCCTGAACATCCTAATGTTCAGCCCTCTTGGCCATTAGACAGTAAATACATCGCTAATGAATCTTAAGAGACAATGTGCAAACTCATATGGATCCTTGGTGTCTAGTCCCTGTGACAGTGAACTGTAATGGGAGCTCAGTGAAGGGAAAGACATGGGAAAAAAGGTTTCTCAGAGAAGATGAGAATCTGTTAAGTATGCTAGCTTCATCTACACTCTCTTTCAATCCTTATAATGCTCCTGTGAAGTAGGAACGTTCCCATTTTACAAATGAAAACCCGATTCAGAGAGATTAAGTAACATGGTCAGGGCACAAAGCAAGTAGCAGGTCAGGATTTGAATCTAAGTCTGTTCTGACTAAGAAAGCCTGAGCTTTCTTGGCTCTACCATAGATGTGATCAGCATGCAAAGGAGGGAGAGAGGAAGACATTCTGGATGGAAAGATTAACATAAGCCCAGGCTTAAAGCGAAAGAGGGTAGCCAAGTCAGGGGGAATGGGAAAAAAAGCACTGGGCAGTTATGGGAAATAAAGTTAGGGGATAGACCGTGAAGAGGTTTGAATACAGATGGCTAAAAAATGTGGGCTTAATCCTATAAATCAATAAAATGGAACTGGAGATTTTAAGCAGGAGAGGAGAGGATGAAACTAGGGCATTAGGAAGGTGAACATCACAGGACAGAGATGGACTGGAGAAAATGTATGGCATAACATAGAACAAATTTTTAAAATCCCAAGCACTTCAATATTTAAATAAACCCAGTAGCAATACTTCCCTAATAAAATAATCAAACTATCTCTTGTATGGATCTTTCTTAAAATACATCTCTAGGCACTTTTTAAAATGGCCAGTATGTCTTACTAATTCTTATATGGGTCAGAAACCTCTTCTACCTCCAAATGCATCTAAAAAAGAATATTCCTTAGGTCAGAGGTCACATTTTAAAACGATGCCTCAGCAAGGGCCAAACCAAAGAAATAACAGCAGTGACCCCAACTCACAAAACTCCTTGGCAAAGAAAAACAAAGTTGTAAAAAAGTTGTCCCTTCATTTACAGAAGTACTTAGAACTATTTTTTTAGAGGAAAAAAGTTAAGAACTGACAAATGACAATGACTTTCATATAACCTAGATTTACTTTCTTACCCAAACAAATTTATAGTTTCCACTTCTTACAAAAATCAATACAAAAACATCAGCCTCACCACTTAAATGCCAATTTCCTTTGTCTTTTATGGATATAGTTTGTTTCATTTTATTTTATTTTTTTAAGGCCTGGACTGGTGCATTTAGTGCCTCTTTGGCAGCATATAATCTATCATCATAACTCTCAAAGTTCTCCGTCCCATTCAATCTTAGCCACAGGAAAATTCAATTGCATTTTGTAACCTAACACTGAGCTGCAATCAAGCCATGGCTCCATATTGCTTAAACACAATTGAGACCTGGTGTAGGATCACCTGAAACCCTTAGTGACTAACAGATAAACAACAATAACCTAATTAGCCAGCAGAGCACACGTGACACTGGTTGGGCCAGTACCTCAGTCAAAGACACTCTGCTAGACTTATTCAATAACAACGTGATCACCTTGCAAAGGGGAACTGGGAGAGAATAAGGAAACTTGGCGAGGTAAATGTGAAGGAAAGTGTGCAGCTGGGGTTTTCACAGGGAATTACGGTAAACAGAAGTGGTAAGGCAGGTGGGCTGAGGAAAAAGCAATCATCTTTTACGCAAAACACCTTAGGTGGAGCAGATGCCCTCTCTCCCAATTTTGCACCTCTAAATTGAACCCTCCAGAAGTTAAATGAGCTTGAGGTTCTGGAGAGCACAGAAAGTGCCCAAACCACATCTTCATGTCCTCATATCCCTGCAAACGAAATGTGATATCTATGCCTAAATCCCAAGATATTTTAACTTATTTAGGGATGGATAAGCATCTCAAAAATACATCTGCTTCTGCTGCCAAAGACATTCTCATATTATGGCCAATGGATTTTCAGTCTAGAGCTAAAGCATTAAGCAGACTACACACCTGAAACTAATGTTGTAACTCGACTACTCTTCAATTAAAAGAATTAAAACAGAAAAACACCAAGTAAGTAGAAAGAAGTTATTCACAGACAAGAAAAGTGTAGGGACTAATGGCAGTGCTAAGGGAAATACATACGTTTTTTGTAAAAATCGAGGACAAACCCCAAACCCTGCAAATACCTAATTTACAACTCTAACAACCAGAGCCTATTTCTCAAAGCCTCAAGAGCTACGCTTTATCGAAAGTCAACCTGCAGTGCCAAAATTCTCGAAAACAGCCTCTGGCTGTCAATGTGGACTTAAGAATCTGCTCTGCGCTTGGGCTGTATAATATTTAAAGCCAAAAAAATCCTTTCGGACATTAAGAGTATTGACTGTACTTTACATTTTTCCAGCATCCTAAAGACTGGTCGGGAAAGCTTCAATGCCCAAATAGAGAAAGGTTTGTCCACTTGTGTGTGGACTTTAACGTGCTACGGGTCTATCAAATAAGAAAAAAACTTTCTCTTTTTCACTCCTAAGCAATAAGGATAAATTTAGCCGCCACCTCTCAAAAACAAACAAAAAAAAAAGTGGCGAGGAGCGTGCCCCTAAGGGCTGCATCCAGACGCCGAGCCCCGCAGGCTGGAAGCAGGTCTGCAGCTTCGCTCTCCCGCCTTGGGCGCTGAGGCCGCGTCGGGCGGAGAAAGCCTGGCAGGACTGCCGCTCCCGGGCCTGGTGTGACTCGGGCGGGGCCTGGGGGCGGCCG